AAATGGTACAAGTTCAGGAGAGCCCATATCTAACATTTGTATTGGGGATCAGGACTAATACCTTCATCATGGGCTGCTTTTTATTGAATAAGTATTCATGCTTCATAATCATTTTTCTTCTATTATACTATTCAAAAAGCATTTATCATATGTCAGCACAATGTTGGGACTGGGAATACAAAGATGAATGAGACGAGCCCTCTGATCCTCACAGAATTGGTCTAAAGTAGGGCTTGAGCCCTGGTTCCACCATTCCCTAGCTCTGTGACTTTCCTTGCACGAGTGACCTTCCCACCCTGCACTCGGTTTCTCCACATGTGGAATAGCATAGTCGTAACATTCTCTACCTGCAGGGCTACTGGAGGTTACGGCATATCCAGTGCTTAGCACAGCCCTGGCTTAGCGCAGTGTGTTTACCGCTCAGTGTGTTAGCTATTAGTATTATGGAGTTCACATTCTCGTAGAGAGAGAGCATATCACATACTCTAAATACAGTTCAGGAAAGCCCTCTCATGGGGCTCGGAACAAAATGCCCTAAGAGCTCTGATGAGAGAGAGAGAGAATCGGGAGTTCATTTACAATCAGTTTTATTGAGTTTTCTTTGAAGTGGTAATCATGGCTGACAGGGAGGGTGGGGGTGTCTCAGAAGTGGTGACCTTTAAGCTGGACCTTGGAGACTGAATTCACCAGGGGAAGGTGGAAGGGATGTCCAGTGAGCAAGAGCATGCGCAGCCAGCCCGAGCAAAGGCTCTCCGACTGGCTGCTCATCCAGGGTCCGGGAAGTGGTCTGGAAAGAGCACAGAGATGCTGCCAGAACAGGTCAGGGCTGGGGATCTACCACCACAGCAGCACCGGAGAGCAGTGTGATCAAACTCGTTTTACAAAAATAACTTGGCTACTTTCTGGAAGATGAATGACATCAAAGAGAGACTGAAAGCAGGGAGCCTGTTATGAATTGATCATGGCAGCCTGGACGGGGCAGTGGCAGAGAGCAGGAGAGGCGAGGACATCACAGTGTCTGAGCCGATGTGGGGGCAAAGAAACCACTCAGGGATGACTTTGTATTCTAGCATGAAATAAGAAAAACAGGAAGAGAAGCAAGTGTGGAGAGAAAGATAATGAGTTCTGTGCTATAAATATTAAGTTTGGGGTGTCCGCAAGAGGAATATCCAAGTAGGCAGTTTAAAATATAATTCCAGAAAGACCCGCCGAGGGTGGTGGGGAGAAGGGATAGTAGAGAAAAGGGAAGTTGTAAAACAAGTCTTGCATACCTGCACAGCCCAGCTGGTTCTGTGTAACAGAACCAAAACCAGACAGGTCCCCCTCCAAACCTCCCTTTCACACCAGCAAAACTGCTTCACTCACGCACCTTGATACGCCTGTGTGTTCGTCTACATCTCTCCTTCCTTCCATTCAACATATGCTGATTAAGCATCTATTATGTGCCAGGCACTGTTACGGATTTTGGTGGCACAGACAGAAGCGAAAAAGTCAAAACCCTGTCATGGGGGAGTTTATGTTTTAGTGCAGGAGACAGTCATTAAGAAGATAACTGAATAAAATATAATTTTTTTCTTTATCGATTTGAGAGAGGGAAAGCGGGAGGGAGGGAGAGATGGAAACATCAATGAGAGAGAACATCCATTGGCCACCTCCTGCACGCCCCCCACTGGGGATCTGGCCCACAACTTGGGCATGTGCTCTGCCCAGGAATCAAACTGGCAACCTCTTGGTGCATGGGTCAGCGCTCAACCACTGAGCCACACCAGCCGGGCTAAAATGTAATTTTAAGTAAATGCTATAAGGAAAAATAAATCAGGTGAGAGGTTAGAAAGTCACCAGGGAGGGAGAGGAAGGGGAACTCTTTGAAATCGGGTGGTTATGTCAAGTAAGCCATCTCTGATGAAGTTGCATTTCAAACAGAGACCTAAAGTGACGGAGCAAGCAATGTGGAAATCTGGAGGAAGTATGTTTCAGACAGAGGGAAGAGCAAGGACGAAGTCCCTGAGGCAGGAACCTCAGTATAACTGAGAAACTGCAAAGCAGCCAGCTTGGCTAAAACAAACCAAATAGTCACTGGGTATCTTGTGACATTTCTGACACTACGGTCTTGTGTTATTAACTAATACTCTTGTAAAGATTTTCATGCATTTATATCCTATCTTCCCAACTCTATGTAAACCTATTGAGGGCAAAGTCTATGTTCAAACTGCTTACTCCCACAGTACCTAGCACAATGCCTTGCAGGAGTTCTTTCTCCATTCATCTCTCTATCACTATCATTGGTGGTGATCCCTAGGCCTCCCTTGCCCCACTCTCAGACACTTCTGGGCTCATTCCAGAAGCTGCTAACCATCTGGCAAACCACTGGTGAGCCGTCTAATACTGTTGTGATTAGTGAGAAACTCAAGCTAAATCCACAGCACCACAGAAAGCCCATGCACCAAGATCTACCCTTGCTGTTTGCACACCGGATGATTCTAATATTGAAGACTGAAACGTGAGGAAATTCTGCACATGCTCAGAGCAGCTGCTGGCTTTGCCACAGTTCTATGCTTAAACATTACAATAATGTTATTATTATCTCACAGGGGTATCCTGGGGTTTAATGAGATATTTTCAAATCACTTTGAGCTACTCCATTGGGGGTACTAAATAAATGGTATGTGTTCCTCCTGAAGTGCCATTTTTGACATTGATTTGTTGTGATGGGTTCTGCTGTCCAACAGGGCTGGGATTCGCCCACCAACTCATTTCCTACAAACAATAGACTAGCCGTCAGAAGGCGGTGGTTTTCCGTTAAAATAAATATGAAGTGAAGTGAACTAGTCAGCAATCAGAGGCAAATAGGCCGCTGTTAGAAATCTAGTATTTATTAAGCACTCACAGTGATCAACATAAGAGCTTCACAGTATGGTGCAGTACAGCGAACACTGGACTGGAAATGGTCCAAGGTTGCAGGCCCAGCTCTGCCACTAACTCGCTGTGTGAGCTTGAAGAAATTGCTAAACATCTCTGGGCCTCAACTATACAGTAAGGGCTGTTCTACAAAGCTCATAATCAGTCTTCCAGATAAGGCAAATACATGAAAGGAATGGAAATAGTCATTTCTGAAGGATAGCTACTTCACAGCAGGGAGAAGCTTGTGACCATCTATCACAGCACCACCCTCTGTTCTGGTCTTCCTTGCCGTTGATTAATATTAATTTCAGTACTAATTCCTGCAAATGGAGAAATAAATCACTTTCTAAGTCAGGCAGAGAAGTGCATGAAACATTTGGTCTTTAAAAATAGGGTCTTTGCCTTTCTATGAGCCATCCTTGCAGTAAGCCCTTGGTCTTATTCTTAGATTTAAATAGATGAATGATTGATTATACTGCTACCCTAATACCCAGCTCTAAAACAGTGTTCTAGTTTAGTGAGAGAGTGTTTTACACAGTTGTCCACTTTTACCACCTGACAACATATGTTACTGCCTGCAGGGCCTGGCACTGACCTGGAGGCAAAGGACAGAAAAGAACAGGGGTGCTTGTTGCTCCCAGAAGAGGCAGAGGTGGAATAACCCAGTAGTGTACTGTACTGTGAGCCCGGGTCCCCTCCCTCCCTCCACATCCCAGGAATCCCAATGGTCCTGGGTTCAGAAAGAAGAAATGTTGATAATTCAGAGCAAGTAGAAATGAAAAGAATCACTTATTGAGAAATTCAATTCAACAAACATATATTGAGTTCCTACTATGTATCAGGCACTTTGGTAGTTGCTGGCATTGTAAATCAGGTGAGACCCAGTCTCTATCCTCCATGACCACATGTCATACTTACTCCAAGTCCAGTTACCAGCTGAGGTATGATGGTGTGGGAGTTGTCTAGACAACAGCTCCTCTTTTGTAAATGATTCAAAAGATACAACAGAAAACACATGTCTGAGCCTGGGTTGACTCTAAACTGGAGTTGCTAAAATGCTTGGAAACAGAAATTGTGTTCAAAGTGACCACATCAATTTGGAAAACTAGTTTAGGTTCAAACGGGATAAATGTAAGTTACTATCCTCAGGCTAAAATCAAGCAACAGAGATACAAGTTTTGGAATGAATGTTCTCCCAGTTTAACAACTGGAGTGTGGCAAATCCCTTACTGCAAGGCTGCAGTGGAACATTAAGTAGACAGTAGAGGTACAGGTCTCCATTCGTCCTTCCCACCACAGATTTAAGACGAGATATGAATTTTCTCTGTCACTTTCCTCTTACTTCCCACTGACAGGAATTGTCAAGTACTGTAAAACCAGGCTGCCCTCTCCAAGCCCCACCAGAAACGTGGTGCTTGGTTCTTCCCAACGACTGGAATCTAAGCTATGAAAGTTAGTGTGAACTATTCGCTCCAGAAGCCAAGTCCTCGAATGCCATGACCCATTTTCTCCAGACTCTAGGTGGGAAACTCACCAGCCCCCATTACTACTCCCTCCAGCTTCTAATTCCAGCAGGAGCAGTTAGAGCCCTCCAGGCCTGGAGGTCTTCTACCTCCTGTGGACTCAGCAGGCTTGCCTCTTCCCCAGAGCACCCACCTGGCCTGCCACCCCCCGCCTGGCATGGCTCCAGATCCAGGGCACATCCCCACCTTCCCTCCTCGCCTGCCTCGGCCAGCGGCCCCCTGGGCTCCTCGGAGTCCGCCTCCCCGGGTCGGCCCAGGTGGAGCTGGCGGGCCGCGGTGCGGGTCCAGGGTGAGTGGAGAAGCCCCGCGAATGGGACGCGGCCTCGCCAGCCGAGGGCGGGCACACTGACCCCAAGCCGGCCGAGCCCAGGGGGCAAGCTGAGGGGCAAAAAGAGGGCGCCGGGGTGACTCAGAAAAGCTAAGGTCACGACGGGGAGGGGCGGGGCCAGGCGCGCGCCCGCGCGGGGGGCGGAGACCTCGAGGGGCCGCGGAGGGCGGCGGGCGCGCGCGGGGCGCGGGCGGGGCGGAGGGAGCGCGGGGCGGGCGTGCAGCCGTCTGTCTGGTGAGGAGCCCGCGGGCCGCGCCACAGCCAGACCGAGCCCGGCGGCGGCAGCGGCAGCAACAGGCGGCGGGCTGGGCTCGGGGCGGAGGCGGCGCGGGAGCGGGCAGCGTGCGGAGGAGCGCCGCGGCCCCGCGCTGCCCCGGGGTTCCCGCCGCATGGAAGAGCATCTCAGCCTGCTGAGCTCGCCGCCGCCGCCCTCCGCCCGCCACCGCGCCCACCCGCCCCAGCGCCCCGCCAGCGGCGGCGCCCGCACCCTGGTGAACCCGGGCTACGCCGAGTCGGCCGCGGGCCCCGAGCTGCCGCCCGACATGACCGTGGTGCCCGGAGACCACCTGCTGGAGCCGGAGGCGGCCGACGGCGGCGGGGACCCGCCTGAGGGCGGCTGTGGCGGCGGCGGCGGCGGCGGCTGTGACCGCTACGAGCCGCTGCCGCCCGCGCTGCCCGCCGCCGGCGACCAGGACTGCTGCGGGGAGCGCGTGGTGATCAACATCTCGGGGCTGCGCTTCGAGACGCAGCTCAAGACCCTCTGCCAGTTCCCGGAGACGCTGCTGGGGGACCCCAAGCGGCGCATGCGGTACTTCGACCCGCTCCGCAACGAGTACTTCTTCGACCGCAACCGGCCCAGCTTCGACGCCATCCTCTACTACTACCAGTCCGGGGGCCGCATCCGCCGGCCGGTCAACGTGCCCATCGACATCTTCTCCGAGGAGATCCGCTTCTATCAGCTGGGCGAGGAGGCCATGGAGAAGTTCCGCGAGGACGAGGGCTTCCTGCGGGAGGAGGAGCGGCCGCTGCCCCGCCGCGACTTCCAGCGCCAGGTGTGGCTGCTCTTCGAGTACCCCGAGAGCTCCGGGCCCGCCCGGGGCATCGCCATCGTGTCCGTGCTCGTCATCCTCATCTCCATCGTCATCTTCTGCCTGGAGACGCTGCCCGAGTTCCGCGACGAGAAGGGCTACTTCGCCTCGCCGTCGCTGGTGGAGGCGGCCAGCAACGGCACGTCGGGGGCCCCTGCCGGAGCCTCCAGCTTCTCCGATCCCTTCTTCGTGGTGGAGACGCTGTGCATCATCTGGTTCTCCTTTGAGCTGCTGGTGCGCTTCTTCGCTTGCCCCAGCAAAGCCACCTTCTCGCGAAATATCATGAACCTGATAGACATTGTGGCCATCATCCCTTATTTCATCACTCTGGGCACGGAGCTGGCTGAGCGCCAGGGCAATGGACAGCAAGCCATGTCCCTGGCCATCCTGAGGGTCATCCGGCTGGTGCGGGTCTTCCGAATCTTCAAGCTCTCCCGCCACTCCAAGGGGCTGCAGATCCTGGGACAGACGCTGAAGGCTTCCATGCGGGAGCTGGGGCTGCTCATCTTCTTCCTCTTTATCGGGGTCATCCTCTTCTCCAGCGCCGTCTACTTTGCCGAGGCAGACGACCCCACTTCGAGGTTTAGCAGTATCCCTGATGCCTTCTGGTGGGCCGTGGTAACCATGACAACAGTAGGCTACGGGGATATGCACCCAGTGACCATAGGGGGCAAGATTGTGGGGTCGCTCTGTGCCATCGCTGGTGTCTTGACCATTGCTTTGCCAGTCCCTGTGATTGTCTCCAATTTCAATTACTTCTACCACCGGGAGACAGAAGGGGAAGAGCAAGCCCAGTACATGCACGTGGGGAGCTGCCAGCATCTCTCCCCTTCAGCCGAGGAGCTCCGAAAAACAAGGAGTAACTCGACTCTGAGTAAGTCGGAGTATATGGTGATCGAAGAGGGGGGTATGAACCATAGCGCCTTCCCCCAGACCCCCTTCAAAACAGGCAATTCCACTGCCACTTGCACCACGAACAATAACCCCAACTCCTGTGTCAACATCAAAAAGATATTTACCGATGTTTAATATATGGTACAAGTGACACGCTGTGCTCAGTATTGTGTGGATCGTGCCCCCCGGTCTGTGTATGCCCTTGTTTTATACATTCCAGACCACCCATCAAGGAAAGGACATGAAGAAGTGGAAAGTACACTTCATTCTCGCTCCCCTACTGCTTCACACTGAAACAGGTGTCTGTTTGCAAGACGGCTGCATTCTCTCAGCTCTCCTCCCCCCCCCCTTCCTCTCTCTCAATATTGCAAACAGCAGACTTTAGACTTGATTTCTAGTACACGCCCTATGAAAAAAAAAAAAAACAACCTGTACATCCTGGGAGGAAATGAAACTAAAGAACAGTTAGGGTAACTGTTTAACCTCAGAATTAAAAGACAGCTGTTTCTTTACTAAGTAAAGCAGGCACATACTTAAAGGATGTTTCAGTTTGATGGACCTTTCAACATTATTGAATATTTAGTTCAATTGCCAACACTGTGGATATATGGATGGAAAGTCCATTCAAAGAGACTTGTAAACCGAACATAAGTTTATTTGGTTTTTGACTGGAACTTCTATTCTGTTCAGAGCCCCCTCCCCAGAATTCTAAGGATCTCTACCACTTTGAACAAAGAGAAATGCCCAAGATGTACTCATCTGACTAATTCAACTCTTTGTTAGGCATTTTGAAAGCATCAGACTAATAGATTCCTGTGAAGTTCTGTGCGTGTGTGCTCCAGCCACTAGAAACAGATGTTTTCAGTGCTGCTGAGAGAAACAAAAAAATTTCCTAGTACATCCGAGAGAGAAGCTTCTGCAGTATCACAAGAAGATTTAAGTGGCAGACACTCCTTCCAGCGGAAGTTACTAATTCGGACCTGACTGATGCAGTTTCCATAGCAACCCATGTTTCCTGGGAAACCCGAAAAAGGTTGTCATGGCATCTCTTGCTCTCTATCCCCGCCCTCTAGCCCCTGCCGTTTCCACAGTAACCTTTCCAGATGGTTCCTACTTACCTGGTTTCATAAGAAAAACCACTGTTTGAATAAACCGCACAAATAAAGTGAAGTCTGAGATTCCAAGGTGGTGAAATGAACCATAAAATGCATATTTTTTTACTACCAGAAACCACTGATATCATCCTATAATGACTGAATTGAGAAGGAAAATATCAGCTTTGGGATTTTTAGATATATACCACATCAGACATGGTGTGAATTAAATGCAAGTAATCAGGCAATAATTTCAAAAGATGCTTCTCCGCTGTTTTCTTTCACCAAGAAGTTTCCAGCCAACAAATGAAAATAAAAAGCAAATATGAAAGTGTTCTGTACATAAGCAAATGAAAGATTCAGTTGGTGTACCTGAAACCTTACTACAAGGGACCTTCAGATGTCCTCTTTAAAAAACAAAACAAACAAACAAAAAAAACCACTCCAGATCCCACAACAGCACTGTCACCAGCACAGCCCTTGAAAAGCTAAATAAAATAGAAAACTATAAATGATGCATTTTTAACTGAGGGAATTGCAGACAGTCAATAAGAAGGAGGGACGGGAAGTTAACCAGATCTTGGGGAAATACCTTCAAGTTTCAGCCATGTGCCAGGATTGGCAGAAGACAGACAGAATCAGGTGAGCACTGTGTGGGCTACTGAGAGCACTTCCTTTTTGTCCAAGGAAGCAGGGAAATGCCATTCATGTCTAGGTTGGTGATACTGGCAAAACCAGTAGTTTCATATTATCTGCTAGGTGCCTTTTAAAGATCTTTTAGAGCACCTTTTGCATTTGATTTCCATGTTGCTAACTCGTTTGGTTCCCGTTGTTTCTTGCAAAAGGATGAAAAGAAAAGTCATTGCTCTTGATGATAGCCTTCACCCAGACTGAACTGAAGGTGATGCCGTTTCTTTTTCTAACCCACTTAGCTTCTGGACAAACTGTCTCCCTTAAAAAAGAATAAAACACAGAAGCTACTGCTATTAGATTATTGTTCCAATTTTAACTTACATAATTATTTGGTAGTATGTGGTAGTACAATCCTTTGAGACAAAAATGGTTAAAATTGCAATAAAGGTAACATTTTAACAAATAATTTTACATACATGATAGACATTATACATTATCCACAATTATACATTATCCACAATTATTTTTTGGTTTTGATAGGTTGTAACTATTCTAGAGTAAATGAGAGTTGCTCTATTTTAATAAAACTCATTAAGTATTTTCATGTAATCAGAAGCCTACTTATGTTATTATTTGTGTATTTGAGACAGTGAAAGATGATGATTAAAATTATAAGAGGGAGGAGAAAAAAGAAATCTATCTACCTAGACATAGAGTCATTGTTCTTATCTGTGTGCATGGGAATGGAACCTTTTTATCTAGTTTCCTTTGCCTTTCTTTGAGTTACTTTTAACATTGATCTACCTTTTGACCATATTTTTGGTATTATTAATGACCAGAAATTCTTTTTATGACCCATTTTGGTGGTTATATGTTAGATACACTATAATAAAAACATGAGTAAATTCTGTATCTTTTTTAAAAAGCTCTTGACATAAAGATAAACAAAGTGCACTGAGAGTTATATTCAATTTTTCAGAAGATGTAGAAACCCTGATGAGCTCTATAAGTAATTAATGTCTGTGCCATAATTTTTGGAATTGTATGGTTATTAAATAACAGTAATACAAAGGAGATTCTTTTTTTAATTCAGAGGAATATGGCTCTTGAATCCTAAATCTGGGGTAGTGTAATTGTTTCCAGTAGCCATATTGTTAGCTTCTTAAAGGTTATAGGTTCTGTGTCTTGACAAAGTTTTAGATACACTTGCTTAGTAGAGAATGTAGCATCTTGTAATGTATTTAATGCATATTTGATGAGTGAATAGCTGTCTTACATTAATGTTACTTTCAGGCTTTTAATGAAGTGGTTTAATGCATAAGCTCTGCAGGCATATTGCCAGGGTTTGAATCCTGACTCTGCTGTTTGACCTTGAACAAATTACTGAACCTCTCTGTGCTTCAGTTGCCGTATTTGTAAAATGAGGCTAAATAGTACCTCATAGGATTGTTGTAAATATTAAATGTTAATACAGGTATAATACTTAGAAAAGATAATTACATGATATGCAGCAGAGATTTTGCTAAGAGATTACATTGTTACATTATATTATTTGCTAAGAGATTGCATTATTATTGTGATAATTATTCACATGCACTGTGTAATTAATACTGAACTTTGTGAATGATATGAAATACATAATCAGGTCTTTCTGTTTACTTCTATATAACAATACTAATTACCACTTATTAAGGGTCAGCATGTCCTTGACACCTCTCAGCTCTGCAAGTTAGGTGGTATTAACCCCATCTTAGGAGGGCAGAAATAGGTGGTTAAGGTTAAATGATTGTTCCTAAGACTTCACAGCTAGCATGAGATCCAGCTGTAATTTAAAGCCAGGTCATTCTGGCCTCCAAACCCCTGTGCCTTTTATTGGATGACTTGAAAGAGATGGAGAAAATAAATTTCTTATGCTTTTAGAGTTGACTTCAGCCTGCTTTACTAATTAATGAATTCTGGTAAAGAACATATCTCCAGAAACCTATTTCATTCAGTATCCTGAAAATTAGTCCTTTTCTGATCATCAGATAGTTTTAAACCATAGAGATCAAATATATGTTATTTAAATTGAATGAAGAGATGGACTTTTCCAGTAAGAAAAGATTATTTTCTACTAGGTACCTACTAGGACAATGGGTATTTTTCAGTTTTAATGCTAATTTCCTATTTCCATGTATTTTCATCTGCAATAGATGATAGAATTATGCAGATTGTTATTTTTTCACCTTACGCTTTGCTTAAGTTACTAGAGATCCATGCCAAAAGTGGTGTAAACATTTGACTCTCTTATAAAGAATGGAAAAATTACTTAGAACAAAAGGATTGAAAGCAGGAGATTGCTGGTTTATTGAAAATTGTGATATTATTGCTTTATAAGAGCATCTGTCCTCAAGACAACATTAGAATATCATTTTGTCCCACAAAACAGCTGTAGTTCCTTCTCTAAGGTCCAAAATCCAATTTAGTAAAATGAAAATGGATAGTGATTTGAGCTTAGAGCAAAATGCTAATGAGGGAGCCTAAGTTTGCACGGGCCAGATAGCCTTGCCAAACCGCATACTTCACTGTTGAGCTCAGCTGCATGTCTTGGATGTTGGAAGGTGCACATACATATGTCTGTGTGCACAAGAGATTCCTGGAGGAGTGGTTCTGAATCAGTGCACACCCTGGGGGATATCCCTATACCCTACAGCTAATGAATCTAGAGATAAATCTAACATTATTGTTATTTTTTTTATGTTGTTACCAAATTTAAATGCCCACCAAATATAATGACATAATCACAGCTACATATAAGATGGATGTGTTATATCAGTTATTTCTAAACTTTGCAATAAAATTTCGGAGTTGAAATTTTAAATGCACAGTATGAAAAAATTCCAAGTTATGGTTTGTTGACGTAAAACACGTTATTTACTCTTTGGCATATAACAAGTAATTGCTTTGTTGATAGTATATAAATTCAATATATATAATACATACCAATAGTCTATTCCTTGGAGAATCTTAACAGTAATTTACTGACTTCTATACATTTAAAATTTCAACATTTCCTGTAGCAGCTTCCAAGTTCTTTCCACCACTCAGCTGTGAATAAAAGTGATAACCTCTCCCACTCAGAAATGCAGAGCAGCACACGGCCTCCCAGTCTAAAGACGTGGCAACGCTGTGAGGTAGAGGTGAGGAGCCTAAGAATGGGGAAGAGGAGCTGTAGGGCTTGCATTTTAGGGTGGGTTTCTTTATTGCTGTCTTGTATTTGGCATTTTAAACTAAGGAGGCTAACACTATTGTTTTTGCACAACTAATTTCCTACATTTTGTTTGGCAGTTGTAGGTATATTAACAAAATTGCTTGCTTTTTATAACCTGCAGGGAGGGGCTGATAACCTTTGAGAGAGGGTAGGCCAGAGGAGGCAGGAAGAAGGGAGGGGAAACCATGCAGAGCCCAAAGCTTACTCTTGTGACTCATCTCCCGGCCTCCTGCCAGACAATGGCCAATGCATAGAGTAAATCATAGTATTCTGTACATATTCATGTTCCCCCCGGAAGTATATTTTAAATGATTCAGACAGGTTAGAAAGTTTTCAAACATTTGTCTTTGTTTTCAATGATGTCATAAACTAATTTTGTCCTTGAAATGGTAAAGAAAAAAACATTTTACAGAGAAACATTTTTATGGTTCCTTCTCTCTCTCTCTCTCTCTCTCTCTCTCTCTCGCTCCCTCCCTCTCCCTCTCCCTCCCCCTCCCCCTCCCCTCCCCCTCCCTCTCCCCCTCCTGGGTGTATTTTTTTCTTACATTTCAAATTGTGTACCATCAACGTTCAAATGCATTAAGGAAGCAATCGAGAAAAGAAGCTGCATCATTTCCTTGGGAGTCATGTTGTTATTGTTGCAACCTAAATGGCCTGAAAAGTGAATCCTAGGCTTCTTCTGGTTGTTAGTAAGATAGCACTTAAATGAACAAAAAATGACGTTTCATCGTATCTGAAGAATGTTGTGCAGGCAGGGTCCTGAGTTTGC